GTACGGTACAGCAGCGACGACTTCACGGCCAGCAGCCAGGAAGGCCCGCGGCCGCCCGCGCACTTGGCTGGCGAGTCCCAGAGCAGCGGGAAATGGCGGCAGTGGCGATACCGCAGGTAGTCTTGGATGCGCGCGGGCAGCTGCTCAAAGTCGGCCGTGGCATTCACGGAGGCATTGGCCATGCACGCGGGCCCTGGGCTGGATGCGGACGGTGGCACGGCAGGGGTCACACCCACAGCTGACTGGGAGCCATCCCTCACCTTCTCCTGCTGAGACGTGGACACTTGGAGGAACCACTGACCCAGGGCCAAGAAACTCACACCCACCAGAAGGCAGGCCAGGAGCTTGGATTTCATGGACCTGCGGCGGTGAAAAGCCATCTGTGGGGAGGGGGAACCGAGTCAGCGATGAGCCTGGAGTCGTCTTTGGATCAGGGGACTGACACCCTTCCCCCGGTCACGTCTCTCCTAGAGCCCAGAACCAGCCCTTCCTCAATTCTGTTGTTACGAAGGTAAAAAAGAAATCAGAACTGAACTGAAGCACTTCACATCTACCACCGCCGGAGGTGTTCTGACTTTCAGATCTGTGTATCTCACTGCCTCCTGACATCTCTGGCCATCACCTAGGCCCAGCGGACTCACCAAGTCGAAGTTAAAGCCTCTGTCTCGTGGTGAATCCATATGCTGCTTTTTCTACCTCATGGATTGGTACCACCATTAGCCCAGTTGCTCCAACCAGAAACCCTGACTTTCCCCCACTCTTAACTTATATCCACTCTCCAAATCCTGTTGATTCTGCATCCAAATCTCTCCAAGCTTATTTCCTCTTCTTTACCCCTGTGGAGCCCTGACCCTGTCTGACCTATTTCCCTCCTTGCCACTGGAGTCAAGGAAGCATGAGGTGCTAGTCCTGGACTCAGACCAGGGTCAGAATTCTGGCATCATTACTTGTATGTATTATCTTGAACAAGTCCTTTCAGATTTCTAGGGCTAAGCATTTTCTTCTGTATCAAAAGGTTAGTAGATTCTTACTTTATAGGGTTGTTGGGAGCATTAAATGAGCATAAAGTGGCCAGTCAATGAATGGCACCAATTCTTTACCCTCTTCGGGATCCTCTGGCCCCACCTCCTTCTGTTTCTACCTACTGGTGTTATTTTTTGTTCCTCATACATGCCAGGTCAGGCCCCTCTCCTTTGTGTATCAAAATTCCCGCCTGCCTAGGTACACCTCAAGCCCTGCCTTCATGAGGACACCTCAGGACAAATCCCAGATCACAACAGCCTCTCCTGTGTTTACTCCCTGCTAAATTCAGCCACACCAGGTCCTGCCCTTCTTAAAACACTGCTCTGTTTCAGGGATGCTGCTCTCTCCTGGCTTTCCTCTTCCCTCTTTAACTGTGTCTCCAATTTCCTTTGCTCATTTCTTTCTCTCTAACGTCCTATAATGGTGGAAGGTCTCCAGGGCTCTCTCCTAGAGACTCTTCCCACCTTTGTGCGAGATGATTTCCTTCACTTTTAGGATCTTCAAACTCCAGAACCATATGTCCAACCAACTGCCTACTACTTACCAGCTCCATGTGGTGGTCCACAGCCACCTCGGATGCAACCTGAGCTCCCATCTTCCTCCCTAGAGTTGTCCCAGAGTTCCATGCCACCATGTTGTTAAAGCCAAAAACTGTGATTGACTCCCTCCTTTCCCCCATCCCCCAGCCCAAGCTTGGTCTGTTCTAACTCCTAAATATTTCATCAGTCTCCTTCCATTCCTACTATCAACAGGCTGACTCAAGCTAGCATCTGCTGCTCAGATGAAATAGCCTCCTGCTTGGTCTCTCCACATACTTTCTTGGTCTCAGCTGATTCCTCCTCTGCAGCAGCTGGAATAATCTTTGAACAATGCTCTTTCCCTCAGCTTCGCACTGTTCTGTACCTGGCCTACTCATCAGCTAAGTCGCAGCCTCGGACTGCCAACACTTCCTACCTTGGAGCTTTCCCTTGTGCTGTTCCACTGCCTGGATGGACCTCCCTTCCCCTCCTTTACCTAAATGCCTGCTCTGCCTTCTCACCCTCTAGTTCCACTTGAATAGGAGTGTCCCTGGGGAAGGTTTAATGCAGCATAAAGGAGACTATAATGTTATTTATTTAGTTTATCTTCTCTCCTAGTGTGTAAGCATCTTGAGGGCTGGGATGGCATCTCTCTTGTTCAATACTGTCTCCCCAGTGCCCTGCCCAGAGTAGGAGTTGGGACAACATAGTGGTGGAAAATATTGGCTGTCTGGGTTCAAATTCTGCCTCTAGTATTTTCTAGCTTCATGTTCTGAGCAAGTTGAATTTAGCTCTCAAATACCTACCTCTTAAGTGTTATTGAGGAGATGAAATGGTGATATATAAAGAATTTAGCATGATACTTGGCAGATAGTAAATGTTCAGTAAATATAAGCTATTATGATTATCAGAGGTACCAATAAATATTTGTTGAATGAATACTTTTTGCCCAGAATATGTGCTCAATGAGCGTTCTCAGATTGAGTCATTTGTGCATAGATGTTACTGAGTAGATGTACTCTCATGTTTGGGTCCATACGCAATGTCTGGCACAAGATGGGCACAGAGCAGGTGTTCAATGAAATAATGACAGCAGTTAACTACAAATAAAAGTGGGAGAACCTTGCAAAAGCTATAATCACTGAATCCTGTTAGAAATACTAGATGTAGATTCCTACAGATCTTAATGGATTCCTGCTTCAGTGTTTAATGTGCTGAGAAAAAGAACCAGCAAGATAAACTACCTGGAACATTTGGGATGTGCAATAC